TAAACGTGTTATCTGAAATAGATCTGATTTCGGATGTAATTTATTCGGACATGAAATTATTGGTTGGGAAAAAATCTCTTTATAAAAAAAGAGAAGAAATGTTTAAATCTCTTTAAAAAAGAGGAAAAGAAATATTCTAAAGTATTTGTAATTGTCATTTCCATAACTTCACAATGTTATAAGCACTTCTTAATCATGTACAAGCAGAAAAATTGTTATCAAATACTAATACCCTAGGCATAAAAAACTAAGGCAATATAGTTTGATTAAAAATGGCTTTACATTTCTAATTTCGTGTTTAAATCAGGGACAACAGATATTAATCTAATGTCCCTATTTAAATCTCCTGACAGTTAAATAAATGAACTAAAAGTTTGTTATTCTGATATTTTGTTGTTTTATGTCTGACAAAATAAGTTTGTAGAATAAATCAATTAGAGTAAAGACAAACATATTTTGTTCTTGTCCAAGCTTTTTACTTCTGTTTTGAATTTAAAAACACATCTTAAAGGTCATACATTATTTATACCTGAAAGTAGATTTGTAAGCTCTATTGAAATATTTTTTTAATACAAAGGCCAGGTATTACATACATTTAAAACTGGCAGATACTTATTTAGCTCATATTGCAAATATAGTCTCCCCTTCCCTATAGGCTGTCAATATTATAAGCTGAGCTGATTGCATAGCATTTTTCTTTGCAACACACCTTTAGTAATTTCTGGCTAGAACCCTGTACCTGTAGGTAATGTCTGGCCTTTCAAAACCTAATTAATTTTTGTGTGTCACACTGCCATATTTTATAACAAAAAATATGTAAAATAAAATTGTTGATGATGACTTTGAAGAGGAGGCTAGCCGGGACCTACATCTCATGCAGAATAAAGCTTACAAACTTTTACTAGATCTTATATGATTTATCTATTGGTGATTATTTTCAATAAATTTGAAGAGATCTGATGCTATTTTTTCTTATCTTCAGATACATACACTCAAAATGCATTTAAATAGAATGAGAAACATTTTTTAGCTCACCTGTCACAAAGTGACAGGGTGAGCTTTTGTGATTGCTTTTCGTCCGGCGTCCGTCCGTCCGGCGTCCGTCCGTCAGTCCATCCGTAAAGTTTTACTTTAAATGACATCTCCTCATAAACCACTGAGCCAATTTCATCCAAACTTCACAGGAATGTTCCTTTGGTGGTCACCTTTAAAAATTATTCAAAGAATTTAATTCCATGCAAAACTCTGGTTGCCATGGCAACCGAAAGAAAAAACTTTAAATATCTTCTTTTAAAAAACCATAAGAGCTAGAGCTTAGATATTTGGCATTAAACATCTTCTAGTGAGTGTCTACCAAGTTTGTTCAAATAAAAGCCCTGGGGTCAAAATTGGCCCCGCCCGGGGGGGTCATTGATTTTCCCTATATGCATATAGTAAAAACTTAAAAAATCTTCTTTTAAAGAACCCAAAGAGCTAGAGCTAAGATATTTAGCATGAAACATGTTCTAATGGGTGTCTACCAAGTTTCTTCAAATAAAAGCCCTGGGGTGAAAATTGGCCCCGCCCCGGGGGTCATTGATTTTCCCTATATGCATATAGTAAAAACTTAAAAATCTTCTTTTAAAGAACTCAAAGAGCTAGAGCTTAGATATTTGGCATGAAACATCTTCTAGTGAGTGTCTACCAAGTTTGTTCAAATAAAAGCCCTGGGGTCAAAATTGGCCACGCCCCGGGGGGTCATTGATTTTCCCTATATGCATATAGTAAAAACTTAAAAAATCTTCTTTTAAAGAACCCAAAGAGCTAGAGCTAAGATATTTAGCATGAAACATGTTCTAATGGGTGTCTACCAAGTTTGTTCAAATAAAAGCCCTGGGGTGAAAATTGGCCCCGCCCCGGGGGTCTTTGATTTTCCCTATATGCATATAGTAAAAACTTAAAAATCTCCTTTTAAAGAACTCAAAGAGCTAGAGCTTAGATATTTGGCATGAAACATCTTCTAGTGTGTGTCTACCAAGTTTGTTCAAATAAAAGCCCTGGGGTCAAAATTGGCCCCGCCCCGGGGGTCATTGATTTTCCCTATATGCATATAGTAAAAACTTAAAAAATCTTCTTTTAAAGAACCCAAAGAGCTAGAGCTAAGATATTTAGCATGAAACATGTTCTAATGGGTGTCTACCAAGTTTGTTCAAATAAAAGCCCAGGGGTCAAAATTGGCCGCTCCGGGGGGTCATTGATTTTCCCTATATGCATATAGTAAAAACTTAAAAAATCTTCTTTTAAAGAACTCAAAGAGCTATGGCTAAGATATTGAGCATCAAACATGTTCTAATAGGTGTCTACCAAGTTTGTTCAAATACAAGCCCAGGGGTCAAAATTGGCCCCGCCCCGGGGGTCATTGATTTTCTTTATATGTGTTTAGCAAAAACTTTAAATCTTCTTTGAAAAAACCCAAATAGCTAGAGTTTAGATATTAAGCATGAAACATCTTCTAGTAAGTGTCTACAAAGTTTGTTCAAATAAAAGCCCTGGGGTCAAAACTGGCCCGGCCCCAGGGGTGTCATTGTTTTTAACTATATGTGTATAGTAAAAACTTTAAAAAGAATCTTCTTTTAAAAAGCCCAATGAGCTAGAGCTTAAAATGTTTAGCATGAAACATCTTCTTATGGGTGTCTACCAAGTTTGTGCAAATAAAAGCCCTTAGGTTAAATTGGCTCTGCAACGTTGGGGGGGGGGGGGGGTTGGGGGCGGCTATATACAGGTGAGCGACCTCAGGGCCATCATGGCCCTCTTGTTATGTTTTACAATGAGGACTACTTAGATTTGCCAAGGACTACCTGATCCTCAAAGTAGGTAGTCCTTCTGACTACCCCTAAAAAAAGTTAGTGTCAAGCCCTGTTTCTGACTTAAATACCTTCAGTGTCAAACAATGTGTTAAAATATATATTGTTACGGGCTATTATTATCAATCAGTGTGTATGTTAAGGATACCGATTAATTAGGTGATAATTATGATTGACTCATTCATTCCAATTTGATTAGTGACCACCTGCAATTAATTAGAAGCTTATGATATGAAGTTAACACGTTTTTGTTTCATATTTTTTTGAATGTTACTTTACAAACAAAATGCCTCTAAGGAAACACATTTTGATAAGATCGATCTATATTAATTTTATCGAATCTGCAAGACAAATAAATAAAAAAAATCTAAATGTACTTATTTCGGCAGAAGTATAATTATATAATAATAAGATATTTCTCATTATTCATTTACCTTAACAAAATGCAAAGCAAAGTTAATACGTTATATATATTTTTGTAAAGTGGGCCGAGTTGACCCGTGTAGAGTTGACCCGTGCCGAGTTGGCATAGGGCCGAGTTGACTCTTTTCCTGTTTGTTTTGGCATATTTTGTGAAATAAAATGTTCTCTGTATGAGAACAGAAAATGGATCATTTTATCTGTTAGGATATGATTAATATGAAAGTTGGCAAAGCCTTTAAACGGGGAAGTTAAATAAAAAAAATATCGTTTTTTGGCCGGGTTGCACTGGTCCGGGCGGGCGGGCGGCGGGCGGGGAAAAAACTTTCGTAACAGTTTTCTCAGCAACTACTAATCATAGCCTTTGATATTTGGTATACAGCATCAACAGATGGTCCCATACTGTGGGATTCAATTTCAGGTCTGTCGCTCATCTACTTCCTGTTTGCAGACTTAGTTAAATTTTCAACATTAATGGTCAATAGTAGGAAATTTTCGTAACAGTTTTTTCTCAGCAACTACTAATCATAGCCTTTTGATATTTGGTATACAGCATCAACACATGGTCCCATACTGTGGGATTCGATCTCAGGTCTGTCGCTCATCTACTTCCTGTTTGCAGACTTAGTTAAATTTTCAACATTAATGGTCAATAGTAGGAAATTTTCGTAACAGTTTTCTCAGCAACTACTAATCATAGCCTTTTGATATTTGGTATACAGCATCAACACATGGTCCCATACTGTGGGATTCAATTTCAGGTCTGTCGCTCATCTACTTCCTGTTTGCAGACTTAGTTAAATTTTCAACATTAATGGTCAATAGTAGGAAATTTTCGTAACAGTTTTCTCAGCAACTACTTATCACAGCCTCTTGATATTTGGTATACAGCATCAACACATGGTCCCATACTGTGGGATTCGATTTCAGGTGTCGCTCATCTACTTCCTGTTTGCAGACTTAGTTAAATTTTCAACATTAATGGTCAATAGTAGGAAATTTTCGTAACAATTTTCTCAGCAACTACTAAACACAGCCTCTTGATATTTGGTATACAGCATCAACACATGGTCCCATACTGTGGGATTCGATTTCAGGTCTGTCGCTCATCTATTTCCTGTTTGCCGACTTAGTTAAATTTTCAACATTAATGGTCAATAGTAGGAAATTTTCGTAACAATTTTCTCAGCAACTACTTATCACAGCCTCTTGATATTTGGTATACAGCATCAACACATGGTCCCATACTGTGGGATTCGATTTCAGTCTGTCGCTCATCCACTTCCTGTTTGCCGACTTAGTTAAATTTTCAACATTAAATTTTGACATAATTAATGATCAATAGATAGTAGGAAATTTTCGTAACAGTTTTCTCAGCAACTACTTACCACAGCCTCTTGATATGTGGTTCACAGCATTGACATGTGGTCCGATATTGTGGGATTCCATTTCAGGTCTGATGCTTATTCTTTTCAGGTTTACCTACTAAGTTAAATTTTCAACATCAATGGTCAGACAGTGGTAGAAAATTTAAGTAACATCACAGCCTCATGATATTTTGTATACATATGCAACCCGGCCTTTTCTGTCTTTGACCCATTTTTTTTATTTTGACTTGTCAGTTGCAGACAGTTCTTGTTGGTAAATAGGGAAGCCGGTATTTTCATTTTAAATTTGTCATTTCATGCACCTCAAGAATTATTCTTAAACTGAAAATTGGTGATTGTTCTGTTTCAGAGGTCATGGTACATTTATGGAAGATGGAAGACATCATGCTTCTGTAGCTGGAGTGGTGCAGAGAGTAAACAAGCTTATCTGTGTTAAACCCCTTAAAACTAGGTAAGAGTAAAGGTGCATGCATGTGTAAAACTCTTAAAATCTAGGGAAGAATAAGCATGAGTGTTAAACCTTCCAAAAACCAGGTTGAACTTGTAGGGTATTTTATCAGGATGAAATATATAATGATAAAACCAGGTGAGAATAAACTACATGAATCACACCATTTAAAACCAGGTTAAAAAATATAAATATAAGATACCTCGTTTCCAACACAAGGATGATTGGAACAAAATTTTTATTTATGATGGACCTGTTTCAAGCCTGCATGTATTAGTTCTTCATCAGGATGATATATAATGTCAAATTAATAAAAAGCAATACAAGATTATCGTGGAAAAATCACTTACTGTATATAACATAGAAAAAAAATTATTAAAAGGTAGAGCTTAACTTATAATATATCCAAATGAATTAATTTTGTTGTTATGATGACAACTTTGGATATGAAATTGTTTCAGGTATAACGGTGAAGTGGGGGATATTGTCGTGGGAAGGATCCTGGAAGTAGGTTTAAAGCGTTGGAAAGTTGACACACATGCTAAACTTGACTCTGTTTTGATGCTGTCCTCTGTAAATTTACCTGGTGGAGAATTGGTAAGGGGTTTTTCAGTTTTTGTTCATTAACTCCCCAACGATTGTACATATTCAACACAAATTTGGCATATGAATACGTCAAAGGAATGCGCAGGTCAAGTTTAAATTTAGTCATGGGTCGATGATTTTTGGCAAGGTTATGCCCCTTTCACTTTGAAAATTATATGAAATTTTCAGTTTCTGTTCATTATCTCCCCAACAGTTGTACATATTCAACTCAAATTTAAGATATGGATGTCAAAGGAATGCGCAGGTGAAGTGCAAATTTAGTCATGGTTCAATGATTTTTGGCAGGGTTATGCCACTTTCACTTTGAAAATAATATGAGCCGCGTCATGACAAAACCAACATAATGTGTCAGGGATTTTTTTGGGCTTATTTTATAGCCGTTATTGGGTCATATTCCCAATTGAAAAGAGTATATTATTTTCCCAATCCACAGGAAAAAATTATCAATTGAAAATTACAAAATAAAAATATTAAATAAAAGTTCTAAAATCTTTGCAAATAAGGGCTTCTTCACTGTAACAGTGCTTAAATCTTTGAAGATGCCATCATAGACAGTAATTGTTTGCATTCATTTAATCACTGCAAAATTTCAGTCATGCAGTTTTTTCCCAATTTTTAACAAAACACCGCTGAAATTCCCAATTCCATGGGTATGGGTCATGTTCCCAAAATCCTGGAAAAAATCCCTGTGTGTTTGCGACAAGCATGGATCCAGACCAGCCTGCGCATCCGCGCAGTCTGATCAGGATCCATGCTGTTCGCTTACAAACCCTATAACAAGTAGAGAGACTGATAGCGAACAGCATGGATCCTGATCAGACTGCGCGGATGCGCAGGCTGGTCTGGATCCATGCTGGTCGCAAACCCATTATGTTGGTTTTGTCGTGACGCGGCTCATATGAAATTTTCAGTTTCCGATTATTACCTCCCCAACAGTTGTACATATTCAACTCAAATTTAAGATATGGATATGTCAAAGGAACGCGCAGGTCAAGTTTGAATTTAGTCATGGTTCAATGATTCTTGGCAGAGTTTCGACCAAATAATATGAAATTTCTAGTTTCCGTTTATTATCTCCCCAACAGTTGTACATATTCAACTCAAATCCAAGATATGGATATGTCAAAGGAATGCTCGGGTCAAGTTCGAATTAAGTCATGGTTTGATGATTTTTGGCTGAGTTTTGCCCCTTCACTTTGGAAATAATATGAAATTTTCAGTTTCCATTCATTTTCTCCCCAACAGTTAAAGTTACATTAAATAAATATGTAAAAATATTTTGCCGTCGGCCTAAAAATCAAACATTCTACAGTTTCATTAACCTGTTTAATAGTTTTGTTGTTAATCTCATCAAATATTTCTCATAAATTAGGATTTTAAACGGGAAACCCCACGGTAACACTAAAGTTCGTATACGAATTTTCACATGCAAATGAAGACTATAATGAGCTCATGTATGCGCCACGTCACAGTTTTATAGTTGCTATCCGGAACACAGCAAATGTGATATTTTCTTGTGCAAACACAATTTAACCGTTTAAGCTTCACGGTGCACTAAACCTGGGGTTCAGTAAAAGTAATCATCTCGCTAAAAGATTAAATTTGTATGAAAACATCCGTTACAATGAGGAAATATACCGTTAAATTAGGACTGCTACTCAGAGCTCCAGATAATTTTTTTGGCCAAGGGGTTTTTACCCCTCAAAATTTAGAGTGAGGGGTAAAATGCAAATTCTGAAAAACTTAAGGGGTAAAATCTGTCAAAAAAGCATTTTGCATTTTTTATAAACAAATTCAACTTATTGTTGTGTTTGTTTGTTTGTTTATTTTCTTTTTTTTTTAAGAAAAACCTTTACAAATTAAATACTGATTTAATGTGAAACAGTACAAAACATGCCATGTAAAGTCAGACTTCCAGAGTATAATGGAACTCAAGTTTAGGATACACAGCAAAATTATCAGAATTGAAATTAAAATAATCATTTTCAAAATTTGGAAGTCAAAGACTTCAAAATCTTTGATATTGAAAGTCACATTATAAAGGTAATGAAGGAAAGTATTGATTTTCGGAAGTCACACCAAATGAAGGAATAAATGACTCCCAAACTTCCACTAGTGGATGCCCTCAAGTTATTTTATTTTCTAGGAGTCAATATTTTTCTTTCTTTATTTTTATTGGCATGAACTTTATCATGTACTCCATTTTGAACAATTATAGTTGAAATTAGAATTAAAGAAACATAAACAAGATTTTTTTATCTTTCCTTAAAAAAAGTATTGGTCTGAGAGAAAATTGTCCGTAACTGTAGACTGGGTACGAAAATATTGAGTACAAAACTGCAGGTAAAAAACATGTTATTTTGTTCTAGCAACAAAAGTTAAAGAAATTAAAATATATTTTTGTTTATATTGAGGCATAAGTATGTCAATAGATGCCTAAACAAACTTAATACCGTGTTAACTCCTACGATGATTATCTGATAATTTCACAGGTTGATAGATCTACGGGAGTTACCTCCCTTCTATATTTCCTGCTACTTTCGTTTTTAACATGCGTTGTTGACAACAGAAATTTTAGGGTTTTTTTAATGCAATAAAATGGAAATATATTGTATTTTTATGCTCAAAACATTTTCTTTCTACATATCAAATGTTCACTTCTCTTCTTTTACGCATAAATTTTGATATACGAGCGTACTTTCATTTTGTTGTGCGTAACTGTGACCCACGAATTTTGAAAGTGATGCGTATTTTAGATTTTCTATGCGTAATTTACGCTTATACGCACGCTATCTGGAGCTCTGTGCTACTTATAGTCATGTTTGTTGATTTAATACTGATGTACGGATGATCCGAAGGCGGAGTTTCTCATGCAAACAGAAATTGTACATCCCATTTTGCCACAATGAGGTTACCTATGTTTATGCTAATAAAACTCATTTTGGTTGTTTGGACACTAAAATAAGACCTGGTGTCGGTATAAAACCCAATTTATTAATGAAATGTTGCTATTTAGTTTTTTATGAAATTTATTAAATGTAACTTTAAACATAATCAACTCAAATTTCAGACATGGATATGTAATAAGAATACACTGGTCAAGTTCGAATTTGATCATGGTTTGATGATAGCTTACAGAGTTATCCCTCTTGAACTTTGAAAAAAAAATCAGAAATCTTTAGTTTCCGTTCATTATCTTCCCAACAGTTTTTACACATTCAACTCAAATTTGACATATAGATACATCTTAGGAATAAGCAGCTCAAGTTTGAATTTGGTCATGGTTCGATGATTTTGGATTAAGTTATCTTTCTTGAATGTTGGACAATTTTTGAATTTTTCAGTTTCAGCTCTCATACTTTTGTGGAAATGTATATGTAGTCATTATTTTGGCTACAAAGTCATGATTTGTTTTCATTTGTATGATATGTAAATTTAAAAAGTTAGATATACAAGTTTAGTTTTTTGGGCGATTAAGCCTTTTAATTCATAATGAACAAGCTTTAGCATAATTATACCAGCTATTGGCACAAGTCAACACCTGAATGTAATTTGAGGACATCAAGTAAGGTAACTCTGTATTGTGCTATATTACAGAGAAGAAGATCAGAGGAAGACGAGAAGTTGATGAGGCATTACCTGAAAGAAGGAGATCTCATTAGTGTATGATTTATTCATCTTTTTTACATACAAGTGGGGTATGGCCCCATAATTAACACATCTGATTAGTATTCTACTGATATATAATGACCCGTGTGGGTTCAAACGCCATCAGGGGCAAGCCATTGTTTCCTTGAGAGGAAACTTTTTCGCTCATTGTGTGACAATGTGCTCAAAAGTTGCTTAGTTAAGGAATTTTAGGTTTTTGCCGTAGAACAAAACATCTGTACACAAATGTCCATCAGGGCCTATAGTATCTGTGCTGGTTAGTTCCAGGATGGGATTTGAGAGCATGTCTATAAGCTTCTAGCTCCCTGCACAAGCAATCTAAAATAAGCAAGGTATAATAATTAACTAAGATACATGTACATAAAAATAAAGAATTTATTAGTATTAAGGTGACAACAGACACTTTCCGTGGTACTCACATAAATGTCATTTAAACCAACTTATTGTACTGTAGTAATAATAGTTATTTATTTAATTTTTGTGCATTAAATGTCGTTGATCATCATAAAAAATAACATATTTGAAAAAAATGCCTTTGTAAATGATTGATTTTTAATAAAAATCCTAAAATTTTAAATCGTCATATCAAAGTCATTTTTTATTTTTTTGTCATCAAACTTTTAAAATGAACATACTTAAAATATCTGGGGAACCGTGTCTCAAATTTTTTCTATCTTTTCTCAAAAAAATATTACGTAACGTCAAACATTTTATGCGACTTTTTTCACCATACATATTACATAATTAAAGATAATTAAGACGCTGATTGAGCAAACAAAAATCCCTGACACGGTTCCCTCCAAAAATGAATTCCCTTTCATGTGGTTTAAACCGCATGTTAATTGGTTGATTATTGAAAAAGTTATGCCAATGCAAAGTTAGTCCGACCCGCATCAAACGAAGTGTCATAAATCGGCTGTTCTCTCTCGGACCCCAACGTTTCACGCTAAATAATTGCATAATACACAAGTATCGCACCAGTGAGGGTCACAAGTTGCGGTAACATACTCTAACAACATTTTATGACCCAGTGACATCTGACCAATTAAAAAGTTGCTGATTAATATCAGTTTATTACAGAAATTTCTTCAATTCTTAATGTGATTTAAAGTCCCTCTGGTATCGGTCGCACATGTCACGTGACTTTCGGTAAAATTTGAGGCACTAGGTGGGGGGAAATGGAACGTATTTGCGCACCGCTAGCGGGGTATTCAATTGTTTCACTTTTGAAGTTTATTATTATTATCATCAGCATTATTATTATATTATAACAGTGTCAATCTGTCTGTGTATCCGTGTATGAAATTCCGTTAAAATATAAATTAAAATAACAAAAAACTAAGCTTCAGACAGTCTTTTAAAGTCCATGGTAGATGTACAAACAAGAACGGGATATTATATATTTTTCCTCCAAATTGATATAAATGCTTCACATATTTTAATAGAAATAAAAGGTATCACTAGATCATTATGATCTGACCTTCTTGACTTCTATTAACATGAATATCATCTATGCACGACATACAGATCCAGTTTCTACTGGGATATACAATAAATTCCATACTTTGTCCCAGGTTTATAAGTACTGTGTTTGATTAACTGGCGAACAATTTATTCAAAGCATTCACTGATAATATATTTTATTATCTTTTTAGCTCACCTGAGCTTGCTCAGGGTGAGCTTTTAGGATCGGTGAATGTCCGTCGTCCGTCCGTCCGTCGTCCGTCGTACGTCCACAATTGCTTGTGAACACTCTAGCGGTCGCATTTTTGCATCAATCATCATCAAACTTAGTCAGGATGCTTTTCCAGTTGAAAGCTCGAATGAGTTCCAACATGGCTCATCTCGGATGAAAAACTAGGTCACAAGAGCTAAAAATAGAAAAACCTTGTGAACACTCTAGAGGTCACATTTTTGACCCAATCATTATCAAACTTGGTCAGGATGTTTGTCTAGGTGATAGCTCGGATGAGTTCTAACATGGGTCATCTCGGATGAGAAAGTAGGTCACCGGAGCTAAAAATAGAAAAACCTTGTGAACACTCTAGTGGTCACATTTTTGAACCAATCTTCATCAAACTTGGTCAGATTGCTTGTCTAGTCAATTGCTTGGATGAGTTTGAACATGGGTCATCTCTGATGTAAAACTAGGTCACAGGAGCTAAAAATAGAAAAACCTTGTGAACACTCTAGCGGTCACATTTTTGACCCAATCATCATCAAACTTTGTCAGGATTCTTGTTTAGATAATAGCTCGGATGAGTTCGAATATGGGTCATCTTGGATGAAAAACTAGGTCACCGGAGCTATAAATAGAAAAACCTTGTTAACACTCTAGCGGTCACATTTTTGCATCAATCATCATCAAACTTGGTCAGGATGCTTATCTAGTTGATAGCTTGGATGAGTTCGAACATGGGTCATCTCGGATGAAAAAGTAGGTCACCGGAGCTAAAAATAGTAAAACCTTGTAAACACTCTAGCGGTCACATTTTTGCATCAATCATCATCAAACTTGGTCAAGATGCTTGTCTAGGTGATAGCTTGGATGAGTTTGAACATGGGTCATCTCGGATGAAAAAGTAGGTCACCGGAGCTAGAAATAGAAAAACCTTGTTAACACTCTAGTGGTCATATTTTTTCATCAATCATCATCAAACTTTGTCAAGATGTTTGTCTAGGTGACAGCTCGGATGAGTTTGAACATGGGTCATCTCGGATGAAAAAGTAGGTCACCGGAGCTAAAAATAGAAAAAACCTTGTTAACACTCTAGCGGTCACATTTTTTGCATCAATCATCATCAAACTTGATCAAGATGCTTGTCTAGGTGATAGCTCGGATGAGTTCGAACATGGGTCATCTCGGATGAAAAAGTAGGTCACCAGAGCTAAAAATAGAAAAACCTTGTTAACACTCTAGTGGTCACAATTTTGACTCAATTGTCATTAAACTTGGTCAGGAAACTTGTCTAGGTCATTGCTGGGAATAAATCGAACATGGGACATCTCGAATGAAAACTAGGTCACAGGAGCTAAAAATAGAAAAATCTTGTTAACACTCTATTGGCTACTGTTGTGATCCATATATTCTGTTAATTGGTCTGAAAGTTTGTTTTGATGATTTCTAAGTCAAGATCAAACATGGGTCATCTTGGATGAAAAACTAGGTGACACCGCCCAAATATGGAAAAACCTTGTTAACATTCTAGTGGTCACATTTTCGACTCAATTATCATCAAACTTGGTCAGGATGCTTGTCTAGGTAATTGCTTGGATGAGTTCGAAATCGCATGTGAAACTAGGTCACCGGAGCTAAAAATAGAAAAATCTTGTTAACACTCTAGTTGCTACTGTTTTGATCCAAGTATCCTGGACATTGGTGTGAAAGTTTGTTTTGATGATTTCTAGGTCAAGTTTGAATATGTGTCACCTGGGTAAAAAACTAGGTCGCACTGCTCAAATATGGATAATCCTTGTTAATACTGTAGTGGTCACATTTTTGACTCACCTGTCATGAGACTTGGTCAGAATGCTTGTCTAGGTAATTGTTCGGATGAGTTTGGTAAGTCAGGTGAGCGATCTAGGGCCATCTTGGCCCTCTTGTTTATTGATCCATAGAGAAATAATCATCCTTAGACAACCTAAAATGGTTTAGAAATTTGTCAGGGACACCTTACCACAAGTCATATAGGCGTTCACATAACAAATGTTGTCTGTTTTTGTTGTTTTACTTGACATTGTTAGAAAACGAGGTTGAATGTAAAGCAAGCCATTGAATCCGTACAAAAGTCCATAAACTCAATGTAATATCAATCAGATTAACGGGACAGACAAATTATTTTCACACATTATCAGTCTTCGAAATTAACGCCAGTCCGAGGCCCGAGGCCATTAAATTTAGCATCGGTCCGGTGATTATTGCAAGGTTGGTGGTCCGATGGGCGAGTTGATTTTTGGCCATGAAATAAATATTATAAAAAAAATTCGTCAAAATAATGAAGCAGGGCTCTCTGAAAGATTGATATTTTGCCTTTTTTTGCAAATGAAACCCATCAATTCTATCCTAAATGTTCAAAACACAGCGAGAGATGTCTAAATTGTATTGAGTAATGAAAGCCGCCATTTTTTCCTTGGATATTTTCTGTACCGCACCGTACAGTTACAGAAATCAAACCATCGTTTATTATAGTCATTATTTAGCTATGATTTTGTGATTATTGAGTTAAGTATAATATTTGGTGTGGAAGTGATTTGTTTGAAGCAAATTGCGTTGTTCATGTTCAATGCTAGTCAATTTTGCCTAAACATGTGGTCTTTATAGATTTTTCAAAGCTGTCAACATATGGCCCAGAATACAAGAAGTATTATGCTTCTTTAAAAATTATCAAGGGAAGCATGATAAAGTGTTTTCCTTTACCCATCAATTTATTACCTATCTATGTATTTGGTCCGGCTAAAAATCACCAGGTCCAGTAAGATTTGAAATTTTACTGGCCCGAATGTCCTGTGCTTTTTAAAGTTTTGCGTGAAGACTGCACATTATGGATATTTTAGCAACTATATTTTTAATCAACTCCGTGATCGTGCGATTTGACGCTATGCTTAATTATTTATGTTTCATACATTATGTTACGTACATTGGCCGACAATTTCTTATTTTATAAAAAGGCTAAATAAAAGGTAGTCGATATTCATAAAAGATGTACAATATTTGTACGATACATGAATTACGAGTAGTATGGACCAGTAATTCACGCATATATGTGGAATAACCGATTTCCCTCATTGATGCCCCAACAGGGGGCGGAGCGTTATCGATAATTGACAGGTTACGCGAATAGCAGATAAAAATGGTACAGGTACCGTTTTTAAACGTTTAAAAACACATTTTTTGGACTAACTGCTTCCAAAATTAAATTACGAATGTGTTCAGAAAAGGTTGATAAATCTACTAAGCAAAAAATCTCATTTTAGGTATTTTCAGTGATAATTGACTCCGTTGTCACCTTAACTATTGTGGTTTTTCCTAATATGTAATGATGCAATGTACATATACATTTCTAAAGCCAATTTCATATGAAATATGATAATAAGTTGGACAAACTTTTCTGAAGATCTACATGTAGATGCCCCATTGTGCTTGAAATTATTTAAATTATTAGTTACAAAGATTTTTGACAACTTATATGGTCGTATATTCAGGTTTGTTTGTATATATAACCCGAGCTGATGCAAACTTACATTTTTAGAAAGAAAAATTTCTTTATAAATTGACAGCAGCCGTATATATAAACTATACAAATGTTGTGATTATCGAATGAAAAGTGACATAACAAACATGTGTATGCAAGTTTGTATTATAATTCCCACTAAGAATCGAGAGAAAGAATGTAGGCAGCTGTTGAAACTTTGCTTGACTCTTCTGCACATTAGTTAACTATTGACCTGCTAAATTAATAGAATAACTTTTCAATCTTCCAGTATTCGGAATTATTCATTATCAAAAACAAAGAAATAAATTTAAATTTTAGTAAAACTTCGGATATAAGCCTCTGATAGTATTGAAAAATATTGTTTTAACATATTTTGTTTACAGGCAGAAGTTCAGTCAGTATATTCCGACGGGTCATTATCACTTCATACAAGATCACTGAAATATGGAAAGGTTTGTTTTAGACTTGTTTCAATTTACACAGACGAAGATGTGACTTGTAAAGACTATTTGTGGAGACCAGTCATTTTTCATTGCAAATCAAAACATAAAGGAGATGAACCAAAAAATGATAAAAAGAAATATGAGCCACGCCACGACAAAACCAACATAATGGGTTTGCGACCAGCATGGATCCAGACCAGCCTGTGTGTTTGCGCAGTCTGATCAGGATCCATGCTGTTCACTATCAGTTTCTTTACTTGTTATAGGGTCTGTAAGCGAACAGCATGGATCCTGATCAGACTGCACAGATGCACAGGCTGGTCTGGATCCATGCTGGTCGCAGACCCATTATGTTGGTTTTGTCATGACGCGGCCCTATATAATTTGATGTCCGCGATGTTATACATGCAAAATTATAATATATAACAAATAAAACTGAATGACAAAATTTTGTAAACTGGACAGCAGATTTATAGCTCTATAATCTTAAATATCTGATCATTATACATCTTAGTCTGCTAGTGACAACTGGTTCCACTCTTGCAGCCAGTGCATACAGACGTCATCTAGCACAACTGAGCCTTTGACAATCTACTTTTGACTTATCGTCTTGACCTAAATTGTGTTTGTGTACCGTAAAACTATACCAAACAAACAAACTTGACTTTGGATTTTATGTGTATACTGATTTTTAATGTAGGTCAGTTTTATATTTCGCATAGTAAGAAGATGTTTCCATAAATGTTCCTTTTTTTCCCCAATTAAAAGATAGCGTTACAGCAATTGAATTACAATGTGTATGTGAATTGAGAATACTTTCTTTTTAATTGTATTGTAATAAAGTACAATACTAATGTGACCTACAAACTACAATCTTGTATTTCAGTTAGGACAAGGATCTTTGTATTTGGTGTCTCCATCTCTTATAAAGAGAAGGAAAACCCATTTTCATTACCTACCATGTGGTGCCACTGTGATACTAGGGAACAATGGCTATGTGTGGATCTGTCCAACAGAAGGGGAAGTATCAGAGCAAACGGGTGGATATGAACAAAATTTAGAGGTACTTGATGACTATAAGGATCTTACAACGGATACCAGTACAGACCAGAATATCTAGCTCGAGTGTAACTGTTGGGGGTAGCGAGGCTATACAAGTTATGGCTAAATAGTTACCTGAGAGCTAGATATACTGGTCTGTTATGACCAGCTGGTGTTTGATTCTTTTTCTTGCATATTACATATTAATTGTATTTCGGAAACTAATATTTTCATTTAGCACATTTTTCTTACAGTATCATATGAATTTATAACTTCGTTCATAGAGGCAATATGACGTCACTCTAAGAAATCATTTAATTCTTATAAGATGCACGGAGATGATTTCATCTAAAGCACGCAACTTGTCTTACACAGTGACAGGGGGTGTTAGACAGGTGTTTCTAGCACTGGTGTATACAGTAGATAATCCTGTCAAATTACTATTTTTTATAATTGTCAAAATTTAAACAAATCTAACAGGTCAGTTTCTCTAGCGTTTTGTCTGAAAATGGTTTTGGCCAGAATTTGAATTTAATATAATATCAATTTATAGATTCTCTGTAGATTATGATTTTTAGGAATAATCCAATACAAACTAGATATGTAGGTTTCCTTAATTCAGTAGGGCAGACATTATTTGTTTGCTTTATTACTTTCAGCCTGTGCTGAGGGCAGACCGGGAGGTTGTGGCTCGGTTAGGTAACTGTGTTCAAGCATTGGCTGATCATAAAATGATGTTGTTTGACACAAGTATTCTCTACACTTATGAGGCATCTCTTAAGTTTCCTGTAAGTATGAGGGATATTAATTTTTCACCACTTGATATATGGCTCATTAACTTGTGTAATAATAAGACTTTTTATCACATAAACCACCTGATAGCAGGAGTGTAAGAAAGTCATTTAATAAAAACAATAATTATAACTCTACATGACATCATTCGTGTCATACGTATATAAAGTATAGCATTGAATTATGCTTATTGTAGTGTTACCCTATAGGCACATCAATAACAATAACTCTTTATTAACTGTTTACCATTCTTATTTTACATATTTATATATATGTCATGAAAAGAATATTATAGTCTTGTAGCTTCAATATTTAATTTATTAAACTTGTTAAATAAAACAATATTATGCTTGCCAGATGCAAGTGTGAACATGTTTTGCTGAATAAAAAAAGAAGACATAAGTTGATGTCCAAATCTCAGAGGCGTTCCACAAACTAGCATAATCCCAGGACGTTCAGAACCCCTTAACCCTCCACTCTAGAATTGTGCATTTATATTGAGACTCGCATCTAAATGTTACTATAATGTGAAAAAGCAGTGACCACTTATTTTATGATGACCTCTTGTTTTTACAGATTAAAGATATAATGAAGCCTGAAGTGAAGACAGAGATAATTGACTTAGCCAGGCAGAGGTTAGAACGTGAAGGAACTTGAAAAATGATACATTTTGTTACAGTAATTATGACATAGAATATGAGTACATTCTGCAGAGATATTGATACTGGACTTTTGATGGTAAATGTCTGGAACAGTGATATGTTAATGATGTGTTGATATGCTGACATTCAACAAAATGTTCTACAGTAGTGTAAACTGGATCGGCGATTTCACAGAAATGTAAAATATCCTGTGCTCAAATGAATAGTTATAAAGTTAATGACAGTTTCTCCACCAAATATACATATACAGATGTTATAGATATATGTAATTGTTAAGTCTTTACATTGAGAACATAATAACTGTAACCTGGCTTGGATTGTCCTACTTGTTTTAAAGAGGGCAAAGGTGGTAATCTCAGGTTTTTTTTTACTTCAGTTTGATATTCCAAAGCAATAAATGAAGAACATTACATGGAGGCACTGTCTAAGCATAAAGTAAAATTGTACTAAATCAAAGAACCGAAATGAAATAGGGATATCAACATGATTTGTGAAGTTTACGTTATACAGTTATTTCAAAGGTGATTTGAGAACAATCAAACTGTTGGCCCAAGATGGAGGGGATAGTGTTTTGAACTGTGCAACAGTTTAAAACACTATCCCTGACACCAAGGGACAACTGTTTGACTGTTCCCAAATCACTTATGAAATAACTGTTTTATTGCTTGATCAATTACTGTTTCAACAATACTTGCATAAGAAAAATGGAACAAGAAAATAGTTTTGCAAATATGTTAATAATTAAACTTTCTTAATTTAACAATATTTAACTCTGTCACTCACGATTGGTTTATGACTGGTTTATGACGCTACAAGGGGGGATTGTCAGAGCAGGCGAGGGAAACAGTCAAAACTATTGACTGGTCAACAGTTTGTGAATGTAGACGTGTTTAGAATTTCAGAAATCAGTAAATAATACCAAATTACATTTATATAAGGTATCACATTGTATCAGGTAATAAAACAATATGATTTAACCGATTAGTATATTATATGTTAATAGGGTATGGGAACCAATCTTGCTTTCATGCTGTTGAACAGTGAACAATTACACTTGTTAGACTGGCAATATATAAATGAATTTTTCATTGTTAAGATAGCAAGTCATAACAATTAATAAAATATTGATGACAATAACTTTCATTTCCTCATCACTATGGGTTTAATTATGGACAGGGATTTTGAATTTTTGTTAAAAATTATATGAAAGCTGTAAACTTATTAAGATCTAAGATGTGAAATGCTGCCTTTTATTTTAAGAGCAGTTGAAACATATTAAGTAAAATTATATTTATGATTAATAAACAAAATCTTAACATGATTTGTTGTTGTTTTTTTTTTTAAAAATACTACCTTGAAACATAATTCATCCAGCTTTATATCACACATTCAAGATTTTAAGTTTAACAAGTCCGTTTATTGACGATTGATATACTGTACTAGTTGTCTCTTATTTTACTGCCAGCCGAGTGGTTAAGGTCGTTGACTTCAAACTACTTGTCCCTCTTCACTGTTTGTTCAAATCCTAACAGGGACTGAATTCTTTCATGTCAGGAAGATATCCAGTTGGCTTACGGAACGTCGATGGTTTTACTCAGGTGCCTGTTCGTGCCTAAAATAGAGCACGGAAGGGAATTGTTTGTCTTATAATTCATTAAAAATGCCCCTTAGCGGCATTCTTTGAAGATCATTTAACAATATAACCAAATAAGCGCATTTAAACAATTTGAAGGCTGAACAATTTTTGGTGTCAAGTGTTCGATTTGTCCCTGTATACCAAAAGAGAATTGCTTATTATGGAGAAACACCAGCTATATGTAAATAGTAACCCATACTACGCTTAATGACTTAGATACACTTGACCATACATTTCGACAAAACCTAGAGTGCTTGCTGAATAGCTAACAGTGCAGACCGTGAGCAGGCGGCAAGGATAGACTGATCTTTGTCTGCACATGTCACATGGGTGGAATCCTGCATAATCCTGCATATGTCACACGGGTAGAATCCTGCATATGTCACACGGGTAGAATCCTGCACATGTCACATGGGTAAAATCCTGCACATGTCACATGGGTAAAATCCTGCATATGTCACATGGGTAGAATCTTGCACATGTCACATGAGTAGAATCTTGCACATGTCACATGAGTAGAATCTTGCACATGTCACATGAGTAGAATCCTGCACATGTCACATGGGGAGAATCCTGCACCTTTCACATGGGTAAAATCCTGCACATGTCACATGGGAAAAATCTTGCACATGTCAAATGGGTAGAATCCTGCATATGTCACACGTGTAGAATCCTGCACATGTCACATAGAAAATCAGTTAGAAAATGTGTTCGCGCAAAAATAGGTAGTGGTGATCTTGCTAGTTTACCCTCCGGATCACGGCAGTAAGCCACATTGAATTTACCATAGCACAGTTAGACCGCTGCATCGGACCTTGGCAAGCTGTCAGTCAGTTTACTAGTACTAGTTTCCACCACTTTCGCAAAGAACTGATAACTTCTGTTCATGCCCGAGCAGATGTACAGTGCGAATGACCGTTGAAAGGATTTCATGATCAATCACAACGAAAGTTCTGCACAGTCCGGGATCTTATTCAATAAACTTCTTGATTTGATTTTTATGAACATTATTGCTATACAGACGTTCTAGAAATTAACAATTGAAAACAGTTGTTTAACAAATACAGCTATCGATACATTTTTGTACATTTCTAGTGAAAGCTTATCTTACTTCAGAGACAGTTTCTCTTCATTGAACCGTTAGTTTCAAGAGATATTGATTTTTGCTCGATAAAAGAATATTAATAACCGATTGTTTTGAAAATAAACAAGAAAACATATGATCAAACTTATATTTATTGAGACTTATAAATTATTTCATTCTTGTAGTCGTGTTTTTAAATGATTCATGAAAACATACATTAACGCAGATTTACAGTTTAATCTCTTAAGTATTGTGGCTGATTTGTGCCATTCGTGTTTTCGCCCGCGACCCCGTCATTTTAACTTGTTAATTCTCGACTTTTCGGTTGGCGGGCCGTGGGGCGAAAACACGAATAACACAAATAAGCCACCATATTTAAGGACACTCAAATGGTTTGACGAATACTAAACAAATCTTAGGTTTGTACTCAATGACTTCCAAATTGACCTATCTTGATAACAAAGACTAATACAGTACATATACTGCTTACAATATCAAGTATAAGACAGATAATAACTTCAGCAAAATTTATTGTATAATATTGAATTATAAGATAAACGAAAATGATTTACCTATGGCTAAGTTTGTTTACTACGGTAAGTTCTATTTATGTTATATATTGCTCAACAAATGACTTTTTTCTATACCAAGTCGAATACCAAAATATACGATTTTTTATATACCAAGCAATGTTAAACTTTTTAGACGTATTGTAGATATAAGAAATGTTTATACATGGCCAGCTGTCCATGCCTAAAATTATGCACTAGAGGATCCCATGCAACTGCTTACATCAGGAAAGTATAGGGAACATCAGGAAAATGGCCGGTTCATTGAAAGCGATGACAAAAGCAAAATTACCCGAAAAGTGCAGACTCAGTTTGACTGAATCCATCCTAGGCTCTCTGGCACCAGTTTATGTGGTATCCAATCTTCAGCACTTATATAGCTGGAAACAAGGAAGTCGTCATGTGTATGATTTAATACATAACCAAACGCGAAACATATTCTTCAAGATTTTACTGGTCGAAATATTAAGAATAGACTTCCACTAGTCCAACTACACTGTTACCATATTTGAAACGATATTATTATTATTATCATTGGATGTTCAAGAGCATTGTGCAATCTGCCAACTTAAAATGATATATATAATTACCCTTCATTCTTTAATTCTAGGTGGTTCACGTGAATCTGTACTCGGCATGTGATATAGGCAAGTTATTATTGTGTTTAAACATGAAAAAGAGGAACTGATTCAAGTTTTCAAGATATAAATATTCAAATAAATTTAAAAATAAAAGCGCAAAATCTCAGAATGTTCGTGGTTAAGTTCAATTTACGGTGTTCCGTTAGGACCAGCGCGATTTCTCGCGAAACATGACAGTACGGTGGTACCAGAAGAACAGTACGACAATACGATGGTGAAAGTACAACAGGACGAATGTGACAATACGACAGTACATTTGCAAACCACGACAATATGATGGTGACAGTACGATGGCATAGCATGCCAGTACGAAGGTGACAATACGACAGTTCGATGGCAAAGCATGTTGTATTGTCACCATCATACTGTCTCACCATTATACTGTCGTACTGTCACCATCATACTGTCGTATTGTCATCATCATACTGTCGTATTGTCACCATCATACTGTCGTACTGTCACCATCATACTGTCGTACTGTCACCATCATACTGTCGTATTGTCACAATCATAGTGTCGTACTGTCACCATCATACTTTCGTACTGTCACCATCATAATGTCGTACTGTCACCACCATAATGTCGTATTGTCATCATCAAACTATCTTACTGTCACCATCATAATGTCGTACTGTCACCATCATACTGTTGTATTGTCACCATCATACTGTCGTACTGTCACCATCATAATGTCGTACTGTCACCACCATAATGTCGTATTGTCATCATCAAACTATCTTACTGTCACCATCATAATGTCGTACAGTCACCACCATAATGTCGTATTGTCATCATCATACTGTCGTACTGTCACCATCATACTTTCGTATTGTCACCATCATACTATCGTACAGTCACACTCGTACTGTCCATTTGTCACCGTAGTATAGTCGTTCTGTCACAATCTTACTGTCACCATCATACTGTCGCACTGTCACCATCATATTGTCGTACTGTAACCATCGTACTGTCGTGCTGTCACACTCGTTCTGTCGTTTTGTTAACATCGTACTGTCGTACTGTCACCATCGTACTCTTATGTTCTCAGAGTAAACGCATTGGCCCTAACGGAACACCGTAGCAATTACATCAAGTCATTCTCGCCCATTCAATTATTAAATAAGTTATTTTTAATCAAAGAAACCTAACTTAAATGGAAGATAAGATGTTTTTGATTTCTTAAAGTGATTCTTTATAATGTGATTGGTGCGTACATGATATTAAACTACGAAAAACAGTAGTTCACATTTTAACAATGTAAGAAATTGAGTTTTTTTTCAGATACATTTGGAACCATTTCATATTTGGTGTTACTGGGCAATATATACCACTCAATGAAAAGAATCTTCACCTTCATGTGTCAGTACTTTCACAATCGATGGCGAATGTGCGGGTCATTGCTCCACTGTTGAAACTCGATAACATATATCAGGTATCAAATTCAACGTTGATTACGCTTAGTGGCGATCTATCTCAAAACGAAGACGGGAAACAACTAAAAGGAATAGAAGTAACATCTGATGTGAATATATCAATTACCTACATAACAGTTGGAAGTGCTGACTGGTTTGAAGGAATGCTAGTCCTTCCGACAAAAGCGCTTGGTATGCATTACTATGCTGCTTCATATCGGCCTATTTCATCTTTCTCCAGTGAAGTTCTCGTCGCCGCGATAGAGAACGACACTGATGTTGTAATTAACATAACTCTGAACCTTCATGGACATGGTAGTACATCATTCCGCTTGCAAAAGTACGAAACATATCAATTTAAGTCAAAATTCGACGTGACAGAGAGTTACATCTCCTCAAATAAACCTATCGCTGTTATATCCGGAGCTGCTCTTGTAAACATACCTCCAAATACTGGCGACACCCAATCTCTAATCGAGCACTTGACACCGATTAAATACTGGACAACCCAATTTATTGTTCCACCAACTTATCCCCGAACACATTTTGTTTTGAGAATATTTGCAAGTAAAGATGGAACTTTAATGAGGTATCACAGCAAAGCCGGGAACCATGCAAGACATATGAGGAAAGGCCGGCTTATAGCATTGACAGGGGGATCTGACCCAATGACAATTACCGCAAACAAACCTATAATGGTCGTCCAATATGGTCACGACGGAGATAACATAGCGGGGGATCCATTTATGATGAATGTACAAGGTGTGTCCCAGTTTGTTGACTCATACAAGTTTGAAGTCCCTTCATTTTACGACAGTGGTAGTAATAGTATAGCAATTACAACAAAGAAGGCGGATGTCGGCGGTATTGAGTTGAACGGTCTGCCTATTGGACAGTGGGAAATTAAAACATTACCTGTTGTTAGTCCCTTTGCAGATTATGTTACAATTTTCGTGAATGTGACAGCTAACAACTCTTATGATTTGTCTCACAGCGGGGGAGCAAAGTTTGGCGCTTTTCTGTATGGACGACCTGGTATTGCTGCGGCATATGGATATCCCCTAAGACTTATGTTACATGATGCAGGTACTAACGTAAAACCAGTTAATGTTTACTGTTGCTTAACATTCATTTTTTATAAGATAAAGTTGCTGAAGCTACAATATAATTATGTTTTGTTTGTTCCTTTTGATAGGTATATAACAATACAAATGCAACAGTTTAGTTTTACTTATTTTTACGAAATAGGTATCATGTCATTATTTATATGTATATTTCTTACATTGATAGTGTCAAATGCAATATGCAATGTCAATAATGGCCAGATCTAGTGCTGTTACAGTCTGGTGATACCATGTGATTCGATTCATTAAAAATTGTACAAAACCGTCTTACCACAGTCCCTTTTGAAAAACGAAAGTGTTATGTTTTTTAGTTGTTTGTGTGAAAGACCTACATTTTTTTGTTTGCTTTACATGTAGAGAAAAATTGTACGCTTCCTTCCACCACCACCATCACTACAATACCAACAACAACACCAACTACAACCACTATCGTAACCACAGCAGTATCTACAGCATCCACAACAACCCTTAGCTCTTCATCCACAACTAAACCAGGTACACGTTTTATGTTTTTATTAAACTCCAGTAGCATTTATATCCATTCATGTAAGAATTTTATTCTTTCACAGAAACTTCAATATTTTATACAGTCAGATACAAAATATATTAATGTACTAAAAGAAGAAAGTTTTCTAGAAATATAAAAACTATATACATATATCTAGTAGTAAGACGGCAAAAAAGTTAAATCGCTGCCATTTATTTGGTCTCAGTATTGTTATATGTTGTTCTTGTTCTTAATTAAGGATTAATGACATTTAGAATCTCCTTATCATTGGTAGGGAACATTACATGTTGCTGTTTCTATTTTCTTATACATTGAGTTAGTCAACCTAGTCTGCTATTTTTCACGTTTTTCTTTTTGTTTCATTTTCTTTTTCAAAGTAAGTCTCCTTTCAAAATGATACAAAATATATACAAAAAATAGTTACTCTTATAATTAATCAAACATATTCCCAATATCTGCATATATTAACTGTCATAATTTGTTGCCGTTGAATGGGTCTTACATTATTGTTCATTTTTATAGATTTTCATTGGTGTTTCAAATGTGAAAATACATCAAACTTAAAAGCTTGCAAGAATGTTCAAAAGTGTAATAGTACCAACGAGGTAAAATTGTATACATCATTTTAATAATTCAAATATCACTAATAGTAACAGGATTCAAACATTAAAAGAAACCAATTAACATTAATTAGTATTCATTATAACATACTGACCAAAAAGAAACCTATCATTGTTATGATATGCTAGTTGCGAACAAACATTGTTTTCCATGAAAGACCGAAAAACAAACAAACAACCCACAGCCTAAGCCGTCTCATTCCTTCATGTCCTTTGATTTACAGTTTTACTGAAAGCAAACCTTGCAGTAAAACATAATAAGAAAATAACTTAATTACAGAATTTTTATTTTGTGTCTCTGTTTTGATCAAGCACATAGTAAAAGTATAATTAATGCTTTTTTATTGTATGATAGAAATAGTTTCACATCGTTTTGTATTATCTAGTATATATACAGTTTATACCATTTCTAAAGACATAAGCAATTTTTTATCTAATTTCTTAAGCTTTTCATTTCATGTTTATAGATATGTTTTATCAACCGTCAATCGTCACCGACTGGAAACCTTTACTCCTCCGGCTGCATTGATGCTGATGTAAGTCATACATGCAATACAATTAGTCTAACTGGCGAATATGATTTTATTCTAACATTCTCTGTGAAGTTACACAATTTACGAAAGGACTATGGATTTGTTTCCGTTATATATCCCGCAATAGTATATTGTACTCTAACAATTTCGCTTATTTAACATGCCACTTTTACTATTATTCTCTGTTTACATACATTTGGTGCAGTCTTTTTATGAGATTTTGTTGTTTTGGTTCGGGTGTGTCAAGCTTTTAACTTATTGATCAAGAAATTTGAAAGTTTTGAAATTTACAAACAAAAGTAATTCCACAAAATTAAACTGACCTTTTAGGTTTATGAAACATTTATTTATGCCATTAGAATAAAACATTACAGCTTTGTTTGTTGCGTTGGGTTTTGAACTTTTGAGGGGCATCGACACCACCAAGGATAGATGGCCGATTTCCCAATTGTATTGATGCAGGAAGACAACGGCTGCCGCTTTGTGCATTGTTTTTGCACAAGCGGACTCCTAATCATTCAACCATGGTGGCCTTACACAGTATTGTATATTATATGTTTGAGTATTATTACTCTGACCAAATCACATTCTCGTGTTGTGAATACTAATATGGAAAAAACAATCATTAATTCCATAAGTTCATCGATCTTTATATATGATTTCAACAATGTATGAATACAACTCAGAATGGGGATTGCTCATACTGTTGCAATGACAATTTCTGTAACAGCGCCGGATGTGGTGATGGTGGTAAATTGTTACCTTTATCTATAAGCGTATACATAATATAAAAATATTTCTTTTTTTTGCACGAGACGGCGCTTATAACACACAACAGTGGCATTGTTAACGTTGTGTGCATATAGTTTAAAATTAACTGCTTATTGACGACCTCAGGTGCTTGATTAATAGCTTCGTCGCAATGTCATGTCAACGAAAAAAGGGACTTGCCCAAGAGAGTGCTTCACTGAGTTGAATATCGCTCCAGTCTTACAATTGGATGTCAAAGATATTTAGCATTAATAATCTACACAGACTACCTGCTATATGCATTTGCCTTTATTCTCGATACTCGTCTGAAGAGATGCTATTGATATCGGAAGCTATTAAGATTGACAAATAACTGTATTCAATTAATGCGTTTTAAGGTTTACCAAGAATTTGCAATTGTATATAAGTAAAGGATTGTTTAGTCAAAGAACTACACTTCTCAACGACACAGTACAGGTCATACGGCATCCTCACATGAAAGAATCCAAAGCCCCTTGCAGGATTTGAATCATTATTAATACAGATCAAAGGCTCATAATAATGGTTTCATTATTTATCTATCTTAAGGTTTCCAGAATCCATCTACGAGGGGACCATTATGTATGAACTGTTCAAATGTAAAAGATAAGGAAATGTGCCACAATATTCAACTGTGTCAAATGGACAAGGTTTATTTATTTTTTGTTGAAATAATTAAATATTGATAAAACAAATGTAAGCATTATGGGACGGAATTTCAAATTGTTCTTCTTATAATGCGTATTTGAATTAATAAAATGTAATAGTAGTTCTGTTTGGTAGATTAACCCGTAATTTGCTTGAATCAAAAGCCTCCAGAATAAAGCTAGGCTAGGCCGTACATACAGCAATCCGACCAGGATCTATACTGTTGGTAACACAATTTTTCTATTTTGATATTGAACTCCATAAAACGTCTAATGGACTGCGCTAAATTTCCAAAAAAGGACATATTTATTACAGAAAGTTAGCTCGTAACGAATGAAGATAGATAAAAATACGATTATAATATTGATGACATGGATATATTTTTGTAGAAACTACCCGTAAAAACAATTTCATTATTTTTAACATAAAGAAGAACCACTTATAACGTTGAAAAGAACAATAATCTTTAACATATATCATACTTAAGCTATCATCAAGAACTGTACTTGTTTCTTTACTTGTATGTTCTAACATGTATCAGAACAAGAGGTTTTAAACAAAATGGAATTTAGATATTAGACTATCATCAAAACTTTATTTATTCTACTGTATGATGTTTTTTTCATTTTAGGTTTGCCGGATAGAAAAATTGGACACTGGAAATAATTTCGTATACAATATGGGCTGCACTGATCCTAAGGTAATTTTCATTCACAATGACCGTTTTCTCTTACTATTTCTGGTGCTCATTGTCATGCATAAACAGTCATTTAATAACTTATATATGTATCTGGTAACCATTTCGTTACAATTTTATTTATATTTTTATCATTTATATTATAACATGGAAATTTTAATGTTATAGAACAGGACAGATTGAATCACAATAACGAATTAAAACATTACCCACATTGCTAAATGTCTTAAATTCAACTGCTATGTTTTGAAATGCTTGAATGTAATGATGACAATTTGAGATTGATCACCTTACAGAATAGAGCCTGGTCAGACTGCATGAATGTGCAGGCCAGTATGGCTCTGTTCAGGTGGTAAGGCTATTCTCTATCCGGTCCAACGGGTAAAAGTCTCCCTGCTGTTCATGTTACATAATTTAACATTTTTTTTTTATTAAAAATGTATATTAGTTAAAATTGACAGAGTTTGAACTATTTTCGCTGTAAAACATCACTATCATACAAGATAAAGAAAATAAGTAACTGTTTATTATATCATTCAATAACATGCTTTCTAGAACGATAACTGTGGTCGTACTCTTTGCTTTTAAGTAACGTTAATAATTATGTAGATCGATTATCGCTTAAATACTATTATGATTTATCCGTGCGCTTTTCTGGAAATTGCGCAAATTTGTATCTAATATACAAATGAGCCGTTTTCATATACTTTCATTGAAATTATGTTGATTGGATTTACCAATTTGAATAATTTATCAAACAAACCTTGTGTAAAGCGGTATGTTAAATCACGAATTATTTATGATGTTATCAACGGAATTGTTTCAATTTTCCTAACTTTTTCGTGGCGAGTATCGTGGTCAAATATGTTTTTGTAATTTTTCCGGGGTATATGAGAGAAAAGAATATCAAATTCGAGTGAAAAATGTATTTGGTAATTATTTAATAAGCTGAATGAAATTGTATGGAATTGAATATGAAAAAAATACACTAGTTTATTAATATTTTCGAGTCAAATCAAAGCTATTTATATTGTATAATTGTATAATCTTAAAATAAAAAATAATATATTTGATTGATTGAATAAGCTGTAAAACATCGTCAAATTCAAGCTATTTACATTGTATATTATTTAAAAAATTCAATTGTTTAGACCGATGTGAATAAGTTTAAATGTTTCGTGTTTTTGCTTATCATTAATAAATATATACTATGCTCATCCACGAGTAAAATATTTTAATCATTGAAATGTACTGAAATGTATGGAATTCTTACTAATTATCTATAATTTGAATAACAGAATAAAAAACATGTATGGGAAGCTGCATTCCCTATTTCGGGACAAGTGAACAGAACAGTATTTTCAAAAAAAAAACAAAACTGCCAGTTTTTTTTAATGACACTTCAATGTATTTATTCATATCGTGGCTATCTATAGTGTGCAGAATTTTAAACATAGCATATTGTCTTTGTGTGAATTCAAAACGTGTTTATTTTAATTAAAAAATATGTGTAGCAATTAATAATATTTTTTAAATAGATATCAAATGTTAGCACAGTATATCTTTAAATTATATGGCACTGAATTGAAATTCTAGACATGTACTTCTAAGCGGTCTATCAACGGATTCTCACCTCGAGATGTTCCGGTTTGTTCTCATTGTTGCCGACCAGATTTCTGTAATCTTGAATGTTCAAGCGGAGGAACTGGGCCTTCTATCGTTGGTATGTAATTTATAACAATACTATACGGATGAATTATTTCAAAGATACCATCACTTTTCTCTTATACAATTTACATCTGCTCTTTGTATATTTTGTGTGTCGTAAGCCGAACGGATACTTACGAATAACACCTGTCAGGAACTTCTTCTTATCACTTGTTTATATTCACTTAATCGCAGTTTTATATTAGAAACTATATTATATAAATGCATTAACTTTGTTTGAACTGCGAATCTCACATAAATGAAACATTTGCATCACATGAAATGAAGATTTATCACAGACAAATAAGAAAATGAACTTCATTTAGCTTCTTTTTTCATCAATGATCTTTTTTTCAGGATGATTGGACGATGCTATTGTTTGAATTGTATAATCTATTTATAGAAACAATAAGTTGATTAACATGACGGCGGAGTAAAGTAGCACTGAAATTCAAGGCTGTCAATTCAGTTTGTGTTTTGTTTTATTAATACACTGTATTTATTTCTTCGCTGCATGCAAGATAAAAATAAGATTACAATGAAAATAAAACTACAATTGTAAAAAGCGGAGAAAACATAATACATGTACTGTTAAAAAGGATAACAAAGTAAAGAAACAGAGGGAGTGATAAAAATGTATAGATTGCTGTCTAATCCATGTATTGGCAGACTAAATAGAGAATCTTAGTAACCTTCATAGTATTTTATATGAGTTCTCCTCGTCTGTCAAATATTACAAACAAAAAATAGTTAAGGTACATAAGTAGATCTGTTGGTGAAAAATTAGTACGATCACAATACGTATAAGATCTTTTGAACTTCACTCAATATCAAATACAGTTAGTTTCCAATTTCACTGTGTTGATGAGAAATGTTTTACACAATGACTGATTCATAGTAATTTATAACTGAATAATTGGATAATCTAAGATATACAATTCCGACGTAGAGGATGTTCGACACACAGATATGTCGACATAGAGGTATTTTGAAAGAGATATTGCTGAGGTTTGTTTTTATTTAGCAGTTTTAAAGAGGAAAACGTAAGGGACTCTGAAAATTAGCTGCTAAACGATTCAAGTTGCACATGGGTGAAAGGAAAAAATGAGGAATTATTGTATTTTGCCGGTATAATTTTTAATTTTATTCATGCACAGATTACATTAATTTTTAATATATATTTTTTTAATTCGATGTATGTTACGTATTGTTTCAATGCAATCGTACTTTGCTATACTGCAATAATTTGTACCTTTAAGACTACAAGTAAGTGGTTCTTTCCTCAGGAACGTTTTCCTTTGATTTATCAACTTTTCTCCTGCATTTACTCATCACATAGTCTTTAATATTTTCTTTCTACCGTTTCTTACAAAAGACCCTGTCTTTGAGAGAAATATACTTTGTTTGATAATAGACAAACCTTGCTTATGTTTGTAATAATTAGATGATATGGACAGGCAAATTGAATTTGAAACGACAATAACCGTAATAATATCTGTCATATTTTGCGGTTCGGATCGGAATATCCGTCCCGAGGTGACCCGCCCATTGGGCGGGTGACCGAGGGACGGATATTCCGATCCGAACCGCAAACATATGTCAGATATTTTTTCTTGCATATTCTACCATATTCCATTATATTTTAAATTTTTTATCTTTACTTTCAATGAAAATTTATATCATTACAACCGTAACTACTTTCATTCAACAGCGTATGAATTACAAAATCATGCATAACGGTAAAATGACGTCATCTTCATCGTGCCATTGTACAGCACGCGACTCATCTGGAACCCCCTATGCCAGATGAAATTTCCGGCATGGGTCAAAACTAACGGAAACGCCAGTCTGATACGCAAGAATATATGATATAGTTTATTAGCTCACTGTTATGAAGTCAACAAATACCGATAACGACTGATAAACCATACAAAGAGTGAACGCTTGGTTATTAAAAAAATGAGGCAAAGATGACTTCCAATTTTTGTTTCAACCAATATGACAATTCATTTACCTTATTATCAAGGGAGGAATTGAAGCTCTCAAAGGTGACAATAATTGTGACGTTTACCAGATTAACATACACAGCTGATTTTAAAGACATTTGTTTGCATACTCCTGTACTCAGTAATAATTTAAGACAAATTAAAAAAAGAACAATGAAATTCTCACTGAATTCAATTATGTTTTTGTGTTGATTTAAATCAGTATTGCCTTCATATGTTCAATGAAATGCCGCATGACTTTCACGTGTTTGTATCTTGATATAATGTGAGGACATGTTTTTACAATCACAAAACTAAAATAGGACGGTCATATGGTTTTAATTGTCCCCGCCGCCTTTTCGAAGGAGAAAGGGGGAAAGAGAAGTTTGTCTGTCTTTTCGTCCGTCCGCCTCTCCGTTCGTCACATTTTATAGTCCGGTACATAACTATATCACATATCAAAGGAATTTGAAATAACTTTGCACAAATGTTTATTATATCAAGACGATGTGTCATGCGCAAAAAACCAAACCTTTACATCGAGGATCAATGTCACACTTGGTGATTTAATGTCAACATTAATTAATTTATCTATTTGAGGGTATCTGTCGTCTCCGGTCCATAACTTTCTTATCCATGAAGGGATTTGAAAATATTTGGCATAGATGTTCAAATTTAGACAATGTGTCATGTGCAAAAAAAGCAGTTGTCTTCCTCTAAGGTCAAGGTCTCAGTTGGAGGTCAAAGATTTACATAGTCTGTTACAGGGTATATTTTCTGTCTGCTTCATAATTTCTCCATATTTCAAGGGATTTTAAAGCTATTAGGCAGAAATGTTCAAAATAATAATACGATGTGTCTTGCGCCTACTTCAAAAGTCAAGGTCTTAGTTGGAGGTCAAATACTAACATAGTTTGTTACAGGGTATATTTTGTGTCCGGTCCATAACTTCTTCATAGATCAATGTATTTGAAGAATATTTGGCACAAATATTCACAATAAAGAGACAATGTGCATGCGCAACAACTAGATGCATACGTCCAAGGTTAAGGTCACAGTTGGAGGTCAAAGATTTATATTGTCTGTTCGAGGGTATTTGTGGTGTCAAGTCAATAACCTTTTCATAGATCATAGGATTTTGAAGTTTCTTGACACAAATGTTGGCAATAATCAGTCAATGTGTGATGCACTATACCTGGGCACCTACCTTCGAGGTCAATGTACTTAGAGGTCAGTGCTAAACACGATCTTTTATTGGCTATATAGAGGATTAACGATGACTTTATATGCACGTTATTGACATGTACCGTAAATGCCTAGGTCTGACAACTCGGTATGCAATTAATGGGTCAGTAACGGATGGGCAGATATCAGGAAGGCCCCGGCGACGTATCATAGGGACAACCGCTTTATTACGTTTACACATTTACGTAATTTCTTTACCCCCAAACCTGAACAGTAGCTCTAAGACTAATGAGGAGCTCGGCTCAAAGGAACGTTATCGTCTCAGACAAGATAGAGCACCAATTCGTGCGTGTCGACCTTATACCGGACAAATTCTAACTGCGTGTCACAGAGCCACCCGCTAGGCTTTGGCTTGACGACACTGGCTCAAGACCCGGGCCCAATGGCGAAGCGTAATTTACAGTGACAAGTCACGTTTCAGGGTCAGGTTTGCTTACAGTTCGGCCAGTGTTTACTCGCCACGAAACGACAAATTTGCCCAATGTTGCGTGCAGAAACGAGACAGTTTTGGCGGTGGCAGCATCATGATTTGGGGGCAAAATGGACAATCAAAGAACATATTTGGTGATCGTTCCGGGCAACGTTAATGCAGTGTCAACATCCTCAGGAACAAGGCTCGGACGGAAAAGCTGGAAGGAAAGTCGTCATATGACCTTTACAGTGTTGGGTGCGACGTAAACCCCAACCAAAAATGTTTCTTATTCCTTAACTAGCTAAATTAAAACATAAAAGTGAATTCAGTATACTAGTGGTCATATTTATTCAGTGATATTAACGCAAATGTACAAAAAAGTTTGAAGTGTATATTTTTTATTTAATAATATATAAGATTCTAGAGTTTCCAAATAAACAAATATTTATTTAGCAATGGTCTTCAGTGTTACGTTATCCATTGTTTTCACGATTGTATACGTCAAAGGCATTATTTAGCTATAGTAAAATCATTTTAGAAAGAAGAGGTTCACGTGGATCTATAACTTTTCTCTTAATCGTTTCTTTTTTTCATATCCCTTTTTATGCGTCCATCTAAAATGATAGAACGGCAAGATGTATTATGTGGAAAATGAAAAATATATCTTTATAAATTTAGAATAGTAATCTCTTATAATAAAAACAAGATTGATTAAATTGACTGAGCATTCAGATTAAACAAAATATATTGGTGAACTCTATATGAATTTCAAAGCTTCGATGCAAAATGTGTTAAAGAGTTAAATCATGGGAGTTAAATTACATTTTTGATGTTCAAAATAAGTTGTTGAAAAGTAAAAATGTTGAAAAAATTTACAAATTACCCTATAAATGACTTATTTCGCTTTAACATATGTTGATTATAGTGCACATACTAATCAGCGGACAGATAACAATTTTAAAATCCATACGGAGTTAGCCACTTGCGGCTTACGTTGATATTTTGTGCAGTTTGATGGAGATACGTATATGTAATATGATATTCATGACTGCAAACTGTAATGCAGCAAATGATTGTTTACGAATGATATCTAAAAGATCTTTTAAAAGTGAGTTAACACCTCATTTAATTTACCTTCACGTTTGATGATCTTATTGATGTGATTTGTTGCACGCAAATCAACAGATCGTAGGCCTGGTGGACCTGAAAATTTAAAATGAAATCATACATCTCAACTTAAAAAATGTGTTTGAATCAATGTTAGGTTTTTATATTCGAGCAGTTTTAGCATATCACACTGGAATTTTAATTAGATGAATATACATTTAACGTGTTAGATGAGCTAGCCTTAAAATGACGCGAATTCAGTGAATCATATAAATTGATAATGAATTTAGAATATAATGAATCATATTATAATAATAGATTGTTAAAGGCAACATGGATTATATTAACTGTCAAAAAAAGTTTGTATTTTAAATCCCAACCTCCCATCCAAACAAAAAATCGCACGCTTATAGATCAGAAAAAATATGAACTTATTATGATAACTGATGAAAATATATATACAGGCATGATTTGAATAAAATTGAAAATAATACCGATATGAATTAAAATGCATGCCTTAATGAATCACTTATCATTTACAATGTACGTCAAACAATAGAAATAAACACGTACCAATATCACAATCTGGTTGGCATTCGCAATTCGAGATTGCAACCAGGAGTCCAAGAAATACAAAAGCTACCAATACTTTTCTGTCCATCTTTACTTTCCTGTGAGATAGAATGGGAATCACATGTAAATTACGTTGCATGTAAAACATCTGTTGTTTGATTTCAACTACAAGTAAATGTAATGTACCTTCGTCAGCCAACATTGTATTTTTTTCGGATATCAATATTCATTTCACAGCGTTATTGTGCTCTCGATATTACAGCCAAGACATTTGATCCAATAACATATGTGACATTAAAAGTAACGTACTCAACTGTACTACGTTAATGAAATAAGGCATTTTATACGAGTTTTTGTTTGTTTTCTATAGTATAATGTAGTATAGTATAGATTTCATGAAACATTCAACTCTGAATTATTCATTTATTTATCTATTTTTGTCACAAGTGTAAATTTGTCTGCTGAAACTGCTGTGACGTCATTCGCTGCCACAAACCGCACCCTTCCCCCACGCGCCTTAAAAAAATTCTACTTAATATCAAATTACATAATAAAAACTTTTCCCCATATGAAAATGGTGGAATTAATATGCATGCTCAAAGACGTTTTCATTATTTAAGTTTTACAACTCGAAGCCAAACAATGATTTCTTGTCTTTATCTGGTTAATTTGTAATACTGTTCTAAGGAAGTAACAGTGGTCTGTAAAAAAAATCAAACTTTATCTAAAGTAACAGTAAGGATTTTTTTTAAAAAGTGTACCTAAATGAAATCAATATTACACATTTCAAGAGCTGCCATGGTATTAAAGTTTGTCAGTCAATTTTAGTACTAATTCAAAACATGGCTGATTGACTTATTCGAGTTTTTGTTTGTTTTCTATAGTATAATGTAGTATAGTTTAGATTTCATGAAACATTCAACTCTGAATTATTCATTTATTTATCTGTTTTTGTCACAAGTGTAAATTTGTCTGCTGAAACTGCTGTGACGTCATTCGCTGCCACAAACCGCACCCTTCCCCCACGCGCCTTAAAAAATTCTACTTAATATCAAATTATATAGTAAAAACTCAGAATATTTTTTTTAATTTTCTTTCTCATATGAAAATGGTGTAATTAATATGCTCAAAGACGTTTTCATTATTTAAGTTTTACAACTCGAAGCCAAACAATGATTTCTTGTCTTTATCTGGTTAATTTGTAATACTGTTCTAAGGAAGTAACAGTGGTCTGTAAAAAAATCAAACTTTATCTAAAGTAACAGTAAGGATTTTTTTTTTAAAAGTGTACCTAAATGAAATCAATATTACACATTTCAAGAGCTGCCATGGTATTAAAGTTTGTCAGTCAATTTTAGTACTAATTCAAAACATGGCTGATTGACTTATTCTTCGAATGGCATGTGTAGTTTACAGCCAAGATGTAACAGATAAATACAATTTAAATTGTAAGTTTAATTAATTTGCTGAAAATAAAGAGAGCAGCGGTACCATAGAGAACCATCCAATCTGACTAGCTCAGATCTACTTATTTCCTTTATGTAGATCTGATGGCGACCGTATATATTTCGCCTTCTTTATAAGTCGGATTTATTTTTAGTCAAGCAATCAAATCCGTTTTTACAAAGGTATTAGAACAAGTATAAAAATACCGTTATCCGTTGAAGTTAAACAAATTTTTGATTAGCAAAATAACATTTGAATAATTTTTGTTACAAAATAACATGTAATAATTGAGTCAATTATTAATGGCAAGATTGTTTTGCAGTTTATCTGTCGGCTATATGGGGGCCGGGCCCTAATTTTTCTTGAAAACGTGGGAAATTTTTCCCACTCAGTATTTTATTTTCCTAGGAAACAAATTTAAAACCCCATCGTTTTAAAAAAAAAAGAAAGTCGCCGAGATTGGCTGTGTGGGGAAAGGGGAATTGAAAAAATTTCCCTATTAGGCCCCGGTCCAGATTTAAAAACGGAAAAGTTATTTTGAGCCCCTTTTAAAGAGATTGGGGAACCCTCCCTTTTACATTTTAAAAATCCTTTTTATGTTGAAAATTTAAAGGGTGTAAAAACACTTTAATTTTTTGATCCAATTTTTCAGTTTTAAATTTTTACAGAGATACGAGCCCGATTTTAAAAATTTAATTTTTATTTTTCTATTTCAAATGAGCAAAGTCAATATCATATTTAAGTTTTTAAAATCCTATCAAGTTTATGAACGAATTTGAAACACTTAACATCTAGAGAGGTTGTGCCCATCTGTACAGCAACCACCTTTTTACATCAGCAGTATCGAATTTGTCCCTAGAGTAAGACTTCTTAGTAAATTTAACATCTGTAGAGCAATGAATCTCAGCAGCAATCAAACTGTTTGCTTTTAATAGAATGTTGCTCGACAAAACGGTTTTTGCTTTTTAATCTTGAAACTGATAATGACTTAATTGCTCCTATCACTTCAATTATTCACAAAATCTATATCAGACAAATAAATATGTAAAACGTATAAAAGAGCAATACTTACTTCTAAGAAACGAACTCCTATGCACAACTTGAAAAAATATCTCGACTTAAATAAATTATACAAACAGTTTAAATGTCAAAAAAATGTTTCTGCTTTTATATTCACTATCCGGTACGCATACACTTAACGTCACATAAGATTGCGAAATAAATTCATTTTTGTCTACCTGTGCAAGCGCCTGTGCATGCGGAAATAACATGTTTTTTTTTAAAACTATTAAATGAATTGAGAGCATGAAAGATGATTAAGTACAGTACCGCTCGGTGAGCAGTATTTTGTCACGAAAGAAGCGTTAATTTTAATGTTAACTAAATAAATACACTCATTGTTTCATGATTGCCTTTTTTTCCATTTGCCTCGTAAGAGTAGGTACAGGAGACACCATCTTTTAATGTCGACCATTCGTGCCAAATAATATGAATATTTCGCAGTGCCTTCAGCAGATTTTCTTTTCACTTATGAAATCTATAGACCTGGTTCGTGAGCAAAACACTTTAAGTTATATAGTAGTGACCAGCTTTTCATGATAAGGATATGATTCGGACAAACAGAAAAGCCTATCCGCTTCAAAATCAGTTTGATTTATATAACAAAACATGAGTAATTGGGCGTAAACAACTTTGTGTCATACTATTGTGGCCTTATAAGGAGTGTGACTGAGCATAATTTGTATCTGTTATTCATTGCAAATGGGTAATTATATGTAAAAACATAATTATTATTTGAAAAGAATATTTAGCTGTACTTTTAAGTTTAGCAATGATTTTGTGCATTCACTGTGTAATTAAGAACAATTAGCAACATTGATTTATCAATTTACGTCTTTTTTTCATAAACTTGCTAAGAATAAATATCACTATATACAATTTCAGATGTCAAATAGACCCATCTAAAAATAACCATAACAAAGTACAAACTATATGCCTGATAATGCCTCACACCCCTTAAGGTATTCAGAATTCATATTCAAAACTAGGTGCGCTACCACTTGGCATGTAATATTAGTAAACAGTGTTCCTTATTTTTTGTTTAAAAATACATCAGTCATATCCGTAAAGTACTTAAAAAACTAGTTTAAAGAGGCTTTATGCATTAAATATCACCCCTCAACCTTATCACTCTTACACTTGTTGACTACTTTACATCTTTTAGTAAACTGTGTCGTGGGAACGCGCTGCAAACTCAGCTGTTCACTATGTTTATCTGACAACGTGTTTTGTGTAAACAAATAAATAAACAAGTTAAATGTTGATGTTGCACATCAAAGAAGCCGACAAGTGATGTGAACAGTAACGGGTAATGTACAAAAACAGCCTTGATAATTGTTCTCTATTACAATTGATTATTCAAAGCATTTATCAATTTTTCAATGTGCTCGTTGTTTGATAATTAAGTTTCATATTTTTGTGAAAAAGTAGAATTTCGCATAAATTCACAAAAGTAATGCCACGTCTGAAATTCTGAAATGTTTGTCTGTTGCGACAAAGATCGAAAGGTCTGGTTGAAGCAACAAAAAAAAAAAATTGGATAACAAGTAAAAATAAAGTGATTGGTATACTAATTTAAAGGTGGTGAAATCATGTGTCCTATAATATCGAATTTTGGTCGATTTCAGTCCCCAGCACTTGATTTTGTTTGAGAAAGTGACCACGTTTTCGGGGCCTACACCTATCCAAAATATACATCAAGGGGTTGCCAAGGGATGTGCCCACTTCTGTTTGGGTGGTTTGAAGGAGGGCGGCAGTCCCCCTCATCGCCAAGAAGGGTTTGCACTTGTGAGAGGCTAAAAATGACCCCAAGTGGATCATAAGGTTACGCGTAAACAACGCTGAAAAGCCTTTGACACTATCTCAATTCATTAAGACAATGCAACACTTTAAAATCAATGTTAATGGAAAAAAATCTAGGCAAAATAGTGATTTTGGATTTTGTCCCCTCGTTGCCATGGTAACAGGATATTTAAGACTAAGCATGTTGTTACAAAGGCAATGGTCCGGTCAGCATTTGTGCCAAGTTTGATTAGTATTGGAGCAGTTTTTATAGTTTTATAGGAATTTAAACTTGTAACGAGAGACTTTTCAATGAAAATAGCCATTTTTCACAAAATGCTTATGCGGTAATGTGTTTATGAAAAAAAAATTCTAGAAAACAACAACTTTTCTCCAAAATTATATCAAAGGCCATGTTTTAACATGAAAAAAAGCGATATGTTAGGTAATTTCAGGTATTTTCATCATTTTCTGTCAGCCCATTACCAGATATAAACGCCTTTCTACGCCTTTTAACCCACCCCCTTGTATGTTGTCTCAAATGAAAAATGCCATATTTAGGGCCCAATACTTGTTTTTTTTAAAATGTTGTTTAAAAAGTGACCATTTTCTCGGCGACTACACCTATCCAAAAGATACATCAAGTGGTTGCTAGAAGAGGGATGTGCTCCCTTCTGTTAAGGGGATTTGAAGGGGGCGGCAGTCCTCCTCATCACCAAGAAAATTTTGGACTTGTGAGGGACTAAGAATGACCCCAGGTGTATCATAAGGTAACATGTAACCAATGCTGAAAATCCTTTGACTCACTATCAATCCATTGAGAAGTTGCAACACTTTGAAATCAATTTTGATTGAAAAAATCAATGCAAAATAGTGATTTTTGGCAAATTTGAGATGTCCCCTCGTTGCCATGGTAGCAGGAAATTTAAGACTGAGCATGTTGTTGCAAAGGCAATGGTCCAGTTAACATTTGTGCCAAGATTGATTAGTATTGGAGCAATTTTATTGTTTTATAGCAATTTGAACTTGTAAAGAGAGGTTTTTCAATGAAAACAGCCATTTTTCACAAAATGCCCATGGAATAATGGGATAATATTCTAATTATTATGAGGACGAACTATTCTGTTATATTACAAATAGCAAAAATATATCTGTAATATCAAAAAATAGTTATGAATAAACTGTTAAACATAATCAATTCTTAGTTACGTTTTACTTACTTATTTATGAAAGATAAAACTATTTGATTGAACACAAGATTCCATATTTGTTTGCAATTCACTTACCGGGGAATTTAGATACAGAAGTACTAAATGTAATAAACAATCAATCTAATCGTCATAGAATCCTTTAAAACAACCTATTGCAAATATTTGTGATACATTTTAAACAAACTTACTATTTCACTCGGTTAATCTTTCTTTTTAACTTAAATGTCAATTTTCACGAACAAGCATAGCTTACGTTGAAAAAAAAAAACATGTCCGTTGCGCCCGTTGCACCAAAAAATATCCGTTTGGTATTTAAGTCATACCACTTGTTCAGTTTTCGTCGTTAGAATATAGACTGGCTAATTTACACTTTATTTTTAGGTTAATAAAACACCTTATTTATTAGGTAATAAAAAACGATGAAAATAAAAAAGAATATGATATTCTAACATGGCACTATCCCTTCAGTTAAACGTTTATTTTGATTCCTTAAAACACGGTGACATGTTGTACATCAGAAAATCTATTTTAATTAGAGAATGTGAAAACAGTTTGATTTTGTTAAAACAAAAGAAAAATATACAACAGCAATACTAAAATATTCCCTATTGCTGAATAGACGAATGCATATCTACCAGCCCCAGCGTGCACGCGGCGTCTAATAAATAAATACCTTGGGTTTATTCTTCAACATCATAATTACCTAAAAGTAAAATTTGTTCATCCTTTATTTTAGTAAATGTCATCAGGCCCTAAAGTACATAATTTTAGGATGATTTCGACAATAGATCAAAAATGTTGTCTGTGACAGACACTGTTCCTTTACAAAAAAGACTGATTTGTGTTTGAAAATATTTTTTGTCCAATAGGATTGTAGTATTTCAAAGGAAATAAATCACAACTCATTTACTTTGGTAAATCGGCCAAACTTTATCAGTATACTCGACAGTTTTATAAAACTAATTTCAAACACCTAATTGGCTAGTGGTTATAAGTAAGCATTTTCGACATTAAGGTGATTCTGCCTGCACTACAACATACTTTAAGCTGGATTTTGCCATTCATGATATATTGTTCATGGTCTTCAGAAATCAAGCAGATTCAACGTAAATATTGTTTTTATTTTTAGTTAATTTATCTTGGTCCTTAAAACATTGACTTGGAAGTGAAATTGCAAATTGGTCATCATTTTACATTGCTAGCTTTATTTTTATATGAATTTTGCCTACTTTCACTTTGGAACAACTTAGTGAAAATCAAGGCTGATAATGCTGAATCATCTTAAATTGGTCGATCATGATCAATTTAATTTTGCAAATGCTTACAAAATAACACTAACCTATACTTAATTAATGAAATTGATTTTACAATCCCAATTTTTGATATCGAGGTCATACAAACATTTTGAGGAGTGATCTTTTTTTCTGTTGTTGAATTCGCAAATTTTGACGTAGAAAAAGCAATGTCGTTGCTTTTTAACGTAGAAAAAGCAATGCCGTTTCTTTTCACGTAGAAAAAGCAATGTCGTTTCTTTTCATGTAGAAAAAGCAATTTCGTTGCTTTTCACGTACAAAAAGCAGTGCCGTTTCTTTTCACGTAGAAAAAACCAATGTCGTTCTTTTTCACGTAGAAAAAGCAATGCCGTTTCTTTTCACGTAGAAAAAGCAATGTCGTTGCTTTTCACAGGGGAATCATATCTTGAATAAGGATAATGAACAATATTAAAAATACGGAAATGCTGTTCGAATGAAGGTTATATATTTACAAATTCAGCATCAAAAAGTGTAAATAAGTCACCAGTATTCATATTAATCTCATACCGTCTCTTTATTGCAATAACGAAATCCTTCTAATTTTAATAGTGGGCAATCAGTTATTGCATTAAGGTGACGATACATCGCTTGCACACAATGATAGTAAAACTGCAGACAAACATGCATTAGCGGACAGAAAGCATTTGCTGAATACGAGTCTGACACAGCCAGTTTAAGAATTCAGTCGTTAAAATGATGTCTGTTTTACAAACGACTGGCTTTATCAGATTATCTGAAACTATCTTTACTTACTTATGTGTTTGTTTTCCTGCTAGAATGCCTTTTCTTATATCACAATACCAGTTCTGAACAGAAAATGTTGATAATTTGATTACTTCTCCGACTAATGAGATTAGTTGTAGTTGT